TATTGACATACGTAGTCGCCGATCCATCCATCTTTCGTTGTAAAAGCATACTTGATCTCTGCGAGCGTATCCTGCCACTTCGTGGTCACTGTACCTATCTCTTGACTCTCGGTGGACGAGTATTGACCCGTTTCTTCAGCGTACTTGGATTTCGGCTCCATCTCGCTCCGGGAGTCGATGACCATTATTGTTCCCACTCAACCTAGTGGGATTTAGTATGCTGAATGAGTTCTCGCGGCAAATGCATTTCAAAATCGAGCTGCATGGTTATATATCAACCTATTAGCCATTGTTGACTCGTGGTTCTAGATCGACAGGAGCCTTTCCCACGATAGGCGTTTCTGCGTTTGTAAACCCCGCGATAACCAGTCCATCGGAATCCGGCTATTGCTTGTACCTGATAACACTGCGATGATACTTGTGCGTATGCCGTGAGATGTGCGACGAGTGACAGAGTACGTGAGCTAGATAAGAGGGGAGATATCGCTAGCGTCGGCCGCCCCATGTCACCTTAGCGAAGGCGCGAAAGCGGAGAGCGGCGGAGGCGGCTGTCAGCGCACGCCTATGGGAAGTCGCGACCATGCAAATAGGATGTTGAGAGTAATCGCGTGAAGTAATCACTCGCTGGTTTCCCAGGTTGATTGACGAAATGAGGGACGGATGAGATCTCCTGGAAACTTGGACCTACACCTTCACAAAGCCCTCCAACGCCGCACCTAGCATCCTCGTAGATCCTAGCCAACGGTATCAGCACCACTTCTAAAGAATATGGCAAGGCCGAATCAGGCGCCGCTGCGTCTCTTGACGAATGCGACCATCGTCACTGTCAATAAGAGCCGGGAAATCATACTCGATGGCGCAATCCTCGTTGAAAACGGCCGTATCACAGCACTCGGAAAGACTTCTGATCTCATGGATCAAGTCAACCAGAACGAAGACAGAGGTGTTGATATCATCGACTGCAAGAACAAGATCATCATACCGGGCTTGGTTAACACACACGCCCATCTTGCGCAATCACTACTCCGTGGACTAGCCGAAGATCTTCCATTACACAACTGGTTATGTGACGCCATCTGGCCATTAGAAGCCAATTATGCCGAAGATGATGGCTATGTGGCTTCAATGCTGACGATTGCGGAGATGCTGAAGACGGGAACGACATGTTTTCTTGAGGCTATGCTCACGCATGGGAGCGGCCTTGAGAACGTCGTCAGAGCAGTGGAAGAAACTGGCATCCGTGCGTGTTTGGTGAGTGCGGCGAAGCAGCATCAATTTGACGAGCTGACCTAGCTGCTAGGGCAAATTGATCAAAGTCGGCGAGACGAACTCAGATCTCAACATGAAAGATGCCCGAGATCGGGACGTGGACTCAATGTCTGTGGAAGTTGCACTATCAGCGCACAAGAAGTATCATGGCTCTTCCGACAACCGTCTACACATGTGGTTTGCAGCGGGTACCCCTCGGGGCTCACCAATGGCGGTCCATGCTACGATCGGCGAAGCAGCGCGAGCACACGACATCGGTCTCACTATGCACTGCGCAGAAGCTCCTAAAGACCTACCCATTTACCGACAGTATTATCAATGCAGCCCTTTCGAGTTCTGCCGAGACACGCAGCTGACAGGATCCAAGTCGGTCTTCGCTCACTGCGTACATCCGGACCCAGCGGCTGGAGACTTCGACATATTGCGGGAAAGTAAAAGCACTGTCTCGCATAACCCTACAAGCAACCTCAAACTTGGGTCTGGTGTGGCACCGATACCAGACATGGTGGCCAGCGGTGTAAACGTGGCTCTGGGAACCGACGGCGCACCGTGTAATAATACGTATGACATGTTTCGAGAGATGCATCTAGCATCCATTCTACACGGCGGTGTCGGGCAAAATGCCGGGATCCTCAGCGCGTACGATGTTTTGGAGTTCGCGACGATCAACGGCGCAAGGGCGCTAGGACTGGAAAATGAGATCGGAAGCTTGGAGGTTGGGAAAAAAGCCGATATCGTAGTTGTTGAGCCGAAAGGCGTATCTTGTGCTCCCTGGGACCCTAACGAGCAGGCTTCCGGTGGCATCGATCCGGTCACAGTGCTGATCCATTCCTCTGGCGCCGATGTCGATACAGTTCTTGTAGATGGTCAGTTGCTTGTCAGTAACGGCAAGTTGTTGCACATTGATGAGGGGACGATCATACAGAAAGCAAAGAAGTCAGTGGCAGACATACGGAAAAGGAGCGATGTAGGTGCGCGAAACCACATGTCGTTAAAGTATATGTGAACTTAAAACTGAAATGAGAGCAAGTCATCAAATAGACTTTGCCCTCCAAATCCTGTTTGTGGTGGTAGCAAGTTCATGAAAGAGCTCCATGAAGTATCTCCTACGCTTATAGGAACATCCTCCGTCGATGAAGACGAAGGAGTTGTTACCTGCAAGTCTTGGGCTACGTCGCTGATAAAGGTCTCCACGTTGAATCTACGGGCTCGCTTGCCAGATGATGACGATATTCCACCATTTTCTGCAGGTCGTGCACGCTTCTTGTTGTTCACGCCTCCACACTGGAGCTCGCGCTGCAGTCCCGACAGCAACCGCACGCCGCGCGAGGCAATCTTGCTATGTTCGAATCTACTCAAGTATCCGATTGCATCAGCGACAAGCCTGGTATGTTCGTCAAACTCTCTGTCACTGGCCGACCGATGAAGGGTATCGAGACTGAGAATGATACCTGCTGCGACTGAAAAGGCTTGCTCGATCCATAGTATTGGGCCCTGCTCATCGCTGCCTGATAGTGCCTCTTTCAATATGGTCTTCGATGCCGCGATACAGGTACGCCGAGTGAATGAAAACGCGGAATTGGTGAAGGAGAGACCGATGAATTTTCGATGTATCATGATGATCTTATGTGAAGCACATATAGCCAGCGAGCGTCTAGCCCAGCCAACATAGATAGGCCAATCGGTCGCCACCGGCGCATTCGTTGATAGAAATGTAGGTATATATGCAGTCGCAAGCTTGCGCATCTTCTCGTCGTAATGAAGGACCTGTTCATACTTCGTGAAAAGCGTGTTACAGCCTGTCATCGCATCTAGGAGTTGCGGCATAAGCGCTGCAATGTCATAGCGATAGTTGCAATAGCTCGCTTGGGTGGGTATGCTCAATGGATGCGGTACCATGTCGTCGTCATCGCAGTTCAGCGGCTTTGCGGTAGTAAAGAAGCGAGGATTGAGCGAATATGATTCGGAGAACGGAATCTGGAACCAATCTTGCGTGCAAAGCTGATTGAAGACTCGTCGACCGGCTTCACGCTGGCGTAGCTGCTCCTTCGAGGTGGCAGAGGCCGAGCTTTCTGGTCCAAGTCGGTGCAACCCAAGACTCTGGGCAATACGACCAGCTGAGGCGAGCAGTATCGACTGACTGCTCGACTTGCCAAGGATATGAGCCGCAATGGTCAACGTCGCGATGGCTTGAACAGAGTAGATGGTATGAGCCTCGATGTAGCCAGCGATTTCGAGGCACGTCACAGTCGCTTCGTACCATCTTTGTGACAAGACCTTCCTCTCTTCTGATGAGAAACCCCAAGACTGATATACAGATGGCGGCGCACATGTGATACTGCCTGTTACGATAGCGAATAGTAAACCAAGCCATTGCAGATTCAAGCCTTGGTGCCGGACGTCGCCTTCGTAGTCTCCAAGAAAGATATTCAGGTCTTCCCTGAATATGGCTGAGGAGTAAGACCCGTGGTACCATAGGATGGTGGTACTGTGGTACTCCACAAGCTGGACGATATGAGTCTTGTTCGGAAGAAGAGCTTCAAGTACGTCAAGCTGTGCATCTTTGCTGTTTTCATATAGCATACTGGATGCAACCGCTTCATCCTCATCCCTGATACTCAGTCGCCGTGGCCCGCTGTTCTGCTCTGGTGATGTCCCATAATCGATGTCTTTTTTACGGCCCCATGCTAGAAACTCCAACACGGTAGCTGCATCATCAGTGTCCGCAGGTTGTGACGCGTTATTGTTAAGAGGTGAAGTGGTCGCTGGATTATGAACTGGACTCGCTGGTGTATCAGAGATTTCCAGAGGCAAGGGTGCTTCGCTCGAGGCCATATCACATTGTTCCTGTAACTTGGCTTCAAGCTGACTTACGCGGTCGAGTAGAGCGCGCACTAGATCGTCCGGTGCTGTCGCTGCACCTTGAGCTTGGTAGACGGGTGGTGGTGGTACTGAGGATGTCACAGCCGCGTCTTCTCTCGTACAGAAGCTTGCATATCCCCTGCTTCATTTAGCATGAGATGGCTCGGGCAGCTTGCGCAGTACCAAGAAGCTCTGGGTTCCCAGCGAAAAGCAATACACAGTCGCGCAGGCTCGGTCTTTGTCGAAAATCGCGGATACTAGACTGCCTTGGAAGCGGAGGAGCTGACCTTCGAATACATGTGCTGCAAGGCACATTCTTATCACATTTGATCTTCCTTCTATAGCACTCTGTACATGTCAGACGGGGTCTCGGCCCTTTCGAGGTGCTGTTGTCGTCCATGGTAAGGTTGACCATGTCGGTCGTGAACTAGGTGTCACGATCGAGGACATCTCGATGCAATGAGAGCGTCTTTCCCAGCATCGCGTTCCCGGTGATTGGCAAGGCGCGTTGGCTATCAGTTGGCTATCGGCGTACATTGTGGTGGGGAAGGAAAATGAACAGGGTGCGGCCGACAACGCGGAACCTTCCACAATCTGGCCTCGGCCCCACTTCATCTCGACCGCGACTTCCGTCTCGCAGGCTGCGGGTGTCTATCTAAGCAGCACGACACACGTGTTGGTGATGACGGCCGATGTGAGCGGCCGCCCTGGCCGCGTCGGCTTTGGCACGCCTGAACGCATATTGCGACACCACATGCATAGAAGCAAAGATGACCGAACATAAGAATAGGTACAGTCTGCCCTCAAGACACTACGGTCACATATGAAACTCACCAACCTCACCCAGCTCGAATATCAAACCTCTCATCATGGCACCGACGAAGTATGTTGATCGCCCTGTGCCGACAATCTCCCTCCGCGACTTCGATGCGCGCATCGATGTGATTACACAGGAACTTGTCGATGCTGCAGAGAACCACGGCTTCTTCTGCATTGTGGACCACGGCATAACACGCGACGCTGTTGACGGCATATTCAATCAGTCAGCGCGTTTCTTCAACCAGCCCGATCGCGTGAAATCGCAAGTGCCATTCTCCCCTCAACACAACGCCGGATGGGAGAAGAATGCTCAAATCCGGCCATCTACTGGTGCAGTCGACCGCAAAGAGTCTTATCAGATGCAATTTGGCGAAGGCATGAATGGTGAGCTGACTTCTCTCGTCTTATGCGTTTGGCCGTGCTGATCTTTGGATAGGTCGATGGCTGAGTGACCAGACCCTTCCGGGGTTCCGAGCGGAGGCTTTGGAGTTCATGCACAGAGTACAGGCAGTCAGCGAGAGGCTCATGAGGTGCTTCGCGCGAGGGTTGAACTTTGCGGAAGATTACTTTGTCAAAGCTCACGATGTCAGCCGACCAGAGTCTCAGACTGTCTGCCGATTACTACATTACTTTGAGACTCCACAGGTGCCAGATCCAACAGGAGAGGTGCATCATCGAGCAGGCGCACACGCCGATTGGGATTTCTTGACTCTGCTGTTCCAGAAAGTAGGGCAGTCTGGTCTTGAGATCTGTCCGGGGCGGGAAGTATCCACTTCGTTCGGATACGGGGATGCGTGGACCAAGGTCGAGCCGGACGCAGACAAGAACGCAATCGGTATGTTGATGTACTATGTCGACCTGAAACCTTTACTCATGCACCACAGTCTGCAATGTCGGTGACCTCCTTATGTCGTGGTCTGACGACCGCTTCAAGTCGACCTTTCATCGTGTCAAGGCTCCATGTGAGCCTGATGACTTCTACGGCGAGCGCTACAGTATCGCCTTCTTCAATCAGCCATGCAAAGACGCCAAGATCCAGGGTCCACTGAAGAAGTATCCAATGGTGACGGGTGATGAGTTTACGAGGAATGCCATGAGCCGGAACTATCAGGCTATACAAGATAAACTAAAGAAGGAGAAGGAGCCGGCGGTAGCGGTTGTCGAAGTGAGCGCGACGGTAGCTGAGGTAAGTGCTACGTGAAGTTTGTCTCTGGAATAGTAATCGATTTCTTCAAGTATCCACTAAGATCTTTCATCAATCGGAAATAGCCCTGAAGTGCAGAATGATGCGATCTCGATTGTGACTTCAGGGTCTTCGCGTTCTTTCATTTCCGTGGTTTCTCACAGATCCTAGCGCGGATGCCTAGTCGACCCGCTTATTCCTCGCACCTGCCCCAACGTTTAGCCTTCTATTCTTGAAACCAAGTTCGACCGTCTAAACCCCACAAGCAACACGACAAGCACAATACCAATGGTTCCAGCGACTCTGCCCTTGGCAGATCCTTCGCCCATCGAGAAGCTGCCCGCCGAGTTACTAGAGTGCATACTGCTGGAAGTTGCGAAGCATGCTGTACCGCCAGTTACCGAAGACGAAGACGGTGAATCTGTTGTCTATCGATACGCCAAGGAAGAGGAGCAAGCGTGTTCGCTCGCATTTCGCCTCACTAGCCGTTGCTTTCGTAATTGTTCATGGAAGGCTTTCGGTGCTTACCTGGGCGAAACCATATTCGATCTGAGATCGCGTCAAAGTATATCCAACCTTACTGCGGTGTCTACATGCGAGCATCTGGCTCCTTGGGTTACAAAACTTATCATAGCCTGCGCTGAAGTGCCCCCGGGGTACCCACTCGATCATGGGGCAATGCCGATGCGGATGGAGCAGGCAGAGTGGGATCAACTACGCCAAGACTCCTACTCAGATCTACTTCAAATCAAATTGGCTGAAGAATCTTGGTACCCCCGCATCTGGAAGCAGAAGGGCTACGGATCTCCAATGACGGGTAGCGGCATTCCTACTTCCGCATCGCCTCCACGTCTTGCTAGAGCCTCCACCTCTATGAGTATCATCCAGGAGGCCGGGATGAGGGCCCTTCAAGAGGTCTTGGCCCAGGCTTTGTTCTGCTTCAAGAACATCGACAATATCGAATTCTGCCACCAGCCTCGTACCCGACCCGGGCGATATCATAACCTATTCCAGAAGTTTCGAAATATCCCACGCTACCGCGAAGAAGAGGATATGAGAAATGCTGGTAATATAGCTCATCTTGGCCTTCAAATTCTCATTCAAGCCATGGTAGCATCGAAGATCACAGTCCGCACGATGACTCTGGCCGTCGATCTCGATGAACATCACGCGTTCATCACCAACATCCCCTCTGTAATCTTCGCGAAAGCCAGTCAAAAGGTAGAAACGCTTGTTCTAAGAGACATGTACTGCCCCTACTACCAAACACCATTACATAGAAAGAAGGGTAAAGTAGCCGCCACGAATAGCTCTTAAGATATCTTGCTAACTTGTTACTAGTATGTATCTCTTATGCTATGCTTTGGCAACGCGGTTCTGAGACATCCTATTATTCGTGCTAACAGCTTGATAGGGCAAATTGTCGATCACGAGGAGTCTCTTCCCTCGCCTTCGCTCGTTGGTGGTCGATCATAGCGAACATAGCGAATTCATCCATCCTCGGCCGATCATCCCGCTTCCTTCGCTTTCTGACACGCCTGCTCTCGACAGATTGACTGTGAGAAATACCAAGATGAATGCCGAAAATTTGCACTCATTTCTACAATGCTATGGGCAGCAGGCTCGGTGCATATCATTCGAGAGCCCGGCAGATCGTGAATACCGCTCCGCGTTGGAGTCCGTGCGCAATCTCCACGTTGAGACACTAGAGATTGAGCATCGTTACAGGAAGGAGTTTATTTGGAAGTCGATCAACGGCGAAGAAGCGGGTGACAACTCAGAAGATCCAGAGCTATTGTATCTTGAGGAGTTCCCGGAAAATCTTGCGAAAACAGTCAAATTGCACCCGCCTTCGTTCAAAGTTGCACTAGAGCGATACTGGCTCAAACATCCTGAAAAACAGTCAGGTGGCGATGAGTGAACGGCAATAGAAGATCGAAGCTGCTGAGAACTTCGATCATGGCTCAGAGTAGCTCCATGAAAAGTGCGCGGATGGTGAGGTGGCTTGTATATCCTGGTACACATGCAGAGGTAGTCAATGAAAAGTATTAAGATCTTAACTCCATTTCACACAAAGTCCATACCGCTGAAAGATAGCATGGCTATAAGTGACATCTGACACAGCGCATGGGGAACTCAAGCCATCTCCTGTCTCTCCACGACAATCACCGCTTCATCCGCGCCCTCATTTCCCCTCGCAACATGCTGCCTACCCAACATGTACGAATGCGTCCTTAGTCCTGAGACTTCCCTCTCGGATTTCGTTACCCAGAAAATGCGAGCCATCACCCACAGAAAAGCGACCACCACGATCAATAGAACAACAATGACATTATCGGCTGCTTTGCTGCCCAAGAAACGGTAGGAGTATGCGCCGTAGCCGAATGTTACGTCGACGTAGACCGACATGATGAGGGCAAGGCATACAAGAAGAGCTGCGCCTGGAAGTCCGAATCGCCTTTGGAGTTTGAAGATTGGGGAGTGGCGAACAAGGTCGACTCCATAAGTGTGTACGAGATGTTCGAGGCGGTCGGCGGGTCCGTGAGTCTCGTGTGCGCTGGTACTGTCTGAGTAGGGGCTGGCCATTGATTGATACATCTTGGTGTTGGTTGCGGTGGCAGGGGTCGTTCGGGTATGGTGGAAGCCAGTGGGAATTTTATATGTCGAGGTCGATAGTCCAGCCTTTTGTTTCACCCCATATCGCCGCGTTCACTAGCACGGAACTCGTCCCTCGTTGTTTCTTACCGATGCTAAGGACTTTGCCGTCATCTGGCAGTACCTTCACTCTTTCGTTCCCATTTCTCGCACCAGACCACTGCATCTTCACAGTGCCTCTCCCTTCGTGCACATGCCCAAAGCAGTGCAATCTTGGTTTCACTCTGTTTACTGCATCGCCCAGCATTTTGCATCCGCAGCTTTCTCCTTTCACATTGACATCGAGACCGTAGCCAAGTTCGTCAGTGAATGAGGGCGGTCCATGCGTCATCAAGATGTCGATGTCTTCGGGTATGTCGCGGAAGCGATTCTCGTCTTTTCCGTATGCAAACGCATACCCATTGAACTCCGGCGTATACGGACTCGCCCAGACACTGAAGCTTCTCCCATCCTTCAGCTTAAACTCATGTCTACCCTCTTCCAGGTAGTAAACCTCCTCTTTCTCGTGGGACTTCATGAAACTGACACATTTCCTACTGTCCTCTATATCTTCTTCCTCTTCTCCGTCTTCAGCGTTCTTGCGCACCCACTCTTCATCGAGATCGAGGTCATGGTTGCCGGCGATGACAAGTTTGAGCTCTGCGTCGACGGTCTGAATGTCTTGCATAGCCCTTTTGTATGCAGGAAGACCGCCGACTTGTGTGAGATCACCACAGTGGATGAGGATGTCGCATGGAGGTGCAGGGCAGTCGGGGGTGTAGGGCCAAGTGGAGTGAGTATCGGAAATGACGAGGATGCGGATATTTGACGACATGGCGGAAGCGAACTTGGGGAAATAGTAGATGAGTGTGTCGAGTAGATGCTAGAGAATCAATAGCAAATTGTAGTGAGTTAGAGTCATGTTGAAAGATCATTGGCATTGGCGTGAAGCCAAGGTTGGTAGAATCGCTACCAATTTATAGACTTGGGCCCACTATTGCAACGGGCATGCCAATCAAGTCTCACTATGACCAACCCTCTCCGTCTTCACCCAGTTTAAACAGCCCGTTCTTCTTCTTATCCGCCGCCCACCTGTCACACCAGGCCTTCATCTTCTCTCTGCTCTTTGCGCTGCCCACGTTGACTGTCGGGATGATCTTGTCGATGCGCAAAGCGCAGCAAAACATAGTCAGCTCTCTGAAGCTGCTATGCTCACTGTACGGCACACCGAAGCAGCTTGCCCGACTTCCACTCCCAGCTTGCGGCGTTAGTTCTTTCATAGAGAAGGTACTTCTCCAATTGTCAGAATGCAAGACAGTCTGTACTTGGGGTGACTCGGTAAAGCGACCCTTTGGTGGACGATAGTTCCAGCCCGAGGGTCTAAAGCCGACAACGCGCGTAAAAGTGTCGGCATAATCGCGCAGGTAGTCGTCCAATGTCTCCGCACGGATCTCAAACAACGGCGTCATGTGGACTTGAGCTGCCCGGGGATCTGTCGTGAGTAGTGCATCCAGTTCGGGGTCCTCGAGAGCTTTGCATATGCGCTGTTTGTTGGCAGGCGCGAAGATCTTGCTTCCCAGCGCCTTCGCAATCCCAGTGCAGATGCGCTCCTTTCCGATGCTGTATGTGCCCACCACAACCAGAAGTCGGCCTCGTGCAGGGCTTTTGGGCTCGCCGGTAGCGTCGGTATTAGAGTCTTTCCGAACGAACTTGACCATGCCTTGGCCTGCACGGTCTCGCTTCATCTGCTCCCATCCATCGGAATCGTCCGCGCGGACTTTGCTGAGACTTACGCACATGTCCGCGCAAGCTTGGATGACCTGCTTCTGAGGCGGAAAAGCGTATTTGGGGTTCAGGTAGGTGGTGTCAAGGTAGCAAGCGTCTAGCTTTTGCTGCCGATTCTTTCCACTCACAGCATCAAGGACGTCTGGGCGCAATAGCGGATGTTCGATGTGCGCTTGACACGCACGGAAGTCTCCGCAGTGTAGCACTCGTTGTAGCTTCGGGTTCTTGCCCTTGCTAAGTTCCTTCTCGAACAGGAACAGAGAGCTGCCAGGGCAATGATTCGCAGAGATCATTGTGACGTGGACGCCTTCCGTTCCTGGTACTTCTGTCTTTTTCTCAAAATCCAGATCGACCACCCACTTGGGGTCCACACGAAGCTGTTGTCGTACCAAGTTGCCAGTGACTTTGCTACAGTATATCGGTCCATGCTTCCATGAGGAAGTAAGCCCGATGTAATGATCGCTATGGAAATGACTCAGGAAATAGGCATTCTGACCTTTGACGGCTCCATACCGAAACGCATCTACAGCAATGAACAACCCTGGCATAATTTTGTAGAATGGGCAGGTGCGTTGGTATGCAGGTTTGCCGCGAGACTTGTTGTTCTCGGCTGCAGCAGATGCCCACGCAGCATCCTCAGCATGGCCGGCCATAAGCTTTGAAAAGGCTGAACTTGGCTGAGCGCTGGGCTTCGCAAGCTGAAAGGGGTTGGCTTGGCCAGGTTTAGCTGGCCTGTCCGGCTTTTTGAAAACTTTCGCTTTACTCGTCATGGTCGGCTTGCTCTCCTCCTCAGACTTCACTACAGGTAAAGGGAGTGGATTGCCGTCTAGGCACGCATTGACGTGTACGGAAACGTCTTGTTCTGACAGGCCTGGAAGATTGTTGCCGCATATCGGACAGGAAGGTATATCATTGGTACGTGGCTCTTCGTGTTTGACTTCGGTAGCATCGCTTTCAGGGAACAGAGGTGGCGCGTCGAAATCGTCCGGGTCGCCCTCAAAGCCTGCCTCTTCCATCTCGAGCTTCTGTTGTTCCTTCATCCACCGTCTCTCATCGTATTCTTCGCCTTCGAGCAAATCATCGTCTTCCAGATCTTCGTATTCCTCCAGCTCTTCGCCCCCGTGTTGAGATGTCGATTCGGACTTTATGGGTGTGGTATCGTGGGATTTGAAGTGTTCGGCACTATCCGGGGGTAATAGGTCCTCCGTTGGTTTAGTCATTGGCGATTCCTCAATATGGCTTCGTATGGTCATACCTGGAGTTGTAGCAGGCATTTCCACTTCGTCGTCTTCGGAGTCTGAGTCGTCCACGAAGGGTCCAGACTTCTTCCGCAGTTTTGGCGCTTGCTTAGACACGTCGGCTGCCAATGCATCCAAAGCATTGCTTTCAACATCAGCCGGCGGGGGTGGTGAACAGGCCGGCACAGGCGCTACCGCCTCTTCGCTAACTTTGCGCCTCTTGTTGCTCCCACCATTCTCGTTGTACCGCTCATCGCTGTTGTCTGTAGTCATGACGCCATTGCTCTTCTCGTCGCTCCAGCCCACGTCGTCCTCGTCGCCGTCGAGCACTATCGTTGGGTTTGACCCTCGTTCTTGTAGGAATATACGGCTGTTGATCTCCTCGGCTTTCTTGAAGAATGCCATGATGTTGCCGTTCGGAGTACCGGCCGGCTTCTGCTTCTTGCCATTGCCAGCGGGCGACTTCTTAGCAAAGTCGGCTGGCGTCAAAGTTGTCTGAACGCTGGTTTTCTTCGGTGGGGGCGCTTTTGTGCTCGGCTTGTGCGCAGCCTTCTTCGTTGCGGTTTTGGCAGCCATGTCTGCCACTCGAGACGATGAGCGGGGTGGCGATGGAGCCCGACCGGTAGAGGGTGTTAGTCGAGACGATTCGGGCAAAGAGCGGTTTTCTCGAGGATTTCTAAACATCGAAGAAGTAATTGCGCATGGCTGAGTAGTGTTGTGGTGCTCGTGTGCTGTGAAATGTACGAGTGAACCAGTGGCGACCGAGCGGCTTCACGCGCGCCAAGACAAACGCGTCGACACGTGCGGAGACGCGATCTTAAAGTGCCAGCTGCTCAATCACGGCATCTTCTTGCGGTCACAAAGTTCCTCGTGTCTATCACGAGCCATAACACTTATGATACCCATCGTCATGCATCTGGTATACCCTCTAGTGTATGCGTCCTCCAGCCTGCCTGCCAACCTGTCAAGGTTGCTGGCGGATTCGGAGAGCGATTACGTCAGCGAACGCGCTTGTGCCCGCCGCAATGTCTTCCAGCAAACCGACATCCACTCGCAGTTGTCTGCGAGCAACTAAGCTTCTCAATTCTCATGCCGTAAGCATTGAAACCTCATCTCCGATTCGATTCGCACTGTTCAACGCATTGTACTCTCACTGTCCATGGCCGGTCTGAAATCCTCAGGGGTCTTTTCATCATGTCTGTTCTTCCTGAACGGGCCCCTCGCCTGCATAGCCACTGCTATAAACAGATAGGTAGTAGGATGGCACGCTCATCCGGCCTAGTATTGGCATGAGGACACGCCCTCGTGGGCCAATTGTCGACAAGCTGACGCGGCCACTGCAAGCTGCTGAACGCCATGTCACGTGGCTTTGACGCCCCCGCGATGACTGCGCTTCACCTCGTCATAGGGCGTTATCAACAACTTGATCGTTGTGGTACGATGCTATTCCCTTCGTGTGCACAATCGCTCGGTTGGCGCGGAATCGCATCCCCACAATTCAATGGCCGTGCTGCCCAGCTAAGATCAGCATCAAACATCACCTCGTATCCCAAAACGGAAGCCCAGCCTCGAGACGATCAAAATAGCAGCACCTCAGAAGTACCATATCTTGAACGCCCTGAGGCGTCGAAAATCGTCTCACTCACACGCGATGAAGCGCAGACCCGACGGCCTCTTCCTACTTTTCTTTCGTGTCATGTACCTCACTATCTTCACAGGGTTCACGTGTTTTACCATTCTGGGCTTTGCGGCTATTGGAACTGGCATTGGCATTGCAGCAACAGTTGTAGTTGCTATTGGGTCTGAGGTTGCCTTTGTGCTGGCTAAGAAAGAGGAGGCAGAGAAGCGGAGACAGGAGCGATATCTGGTATGAAAAGAATGTACGGCATGACAATCTCAAAAGGCTCGGGAAAAGAAGAGGTTCAGGCAGAAGGCCACTCATGGAAGAAAGATTTTGCCGAAAGGGAGGATTCCACAACACATGTTCTCACAGCTTCCGCATCGACATCGCCGGCGCAACCCATCGTTTCCACCAGTTCCGGAGCAGCTCAGTTGCCTTGCCACACAGCAGGTCCAGGCGCAGTGTAGCTCGTAGCGATCGGATAGTACGACCACCTCAGGCCAGGATCATTTGCATTGTATGCTCCAGGGAACGCAACCAGAGGCCCAGGCTGTCCACTACCACCGCCGATAATCTCGACTTGCGCACAAGACAGATACATCTGCGCGCCACCAACTGACTGGGCTTGGTGGAGGGCGATGGATTCTACCCGAACAAGATACTTCCCACTCGGCACGTTCTTAGGGATCTGGAACTGTACTTGCGACTTTCCTGCCCTAGGGTTAGCAACTGAAGACGGAAGGAAGCCACAAGGAGGGGAGATGGGAACTTACCATACGCAGGCCAAGTGCTCTCCCCACTCGTCAACGGACTTCCCACTGCGCTTATACTCGCCGCCTTGAACCAAACGTTACCCGCCGGCTCCCACGTATTGACATTCGCACTGTCTGGTACTTTCGCCATATAGAACTGCACTGGTCCGAAGTGCGTGATCGATGTCTCGGCAACGAAGCCAAGGTTATCACCAGCAGCGACAACAGCAGTACCCGTCCCAGGACGGTTCTGGAAACAGCGCATGTCGGGACTAGTGATGGACGTAACACCCGAGTTGGTTTGGTAGTTCTTCGTTTGTCGGATCGAAGTCCATTCTGCCGATTCGGGCACGCCATTCAGGATGAGCTTGGAGAAGCGGTCTTTAAAGAGTCAGTTCAACTCTTCTAATTACACTGTAATGAACTTGCAATGAGCTTGTGCCGTTGCAGCGAGGGCGGAGAGGGCTAGTAGGAGATGCATTTTGGACTGTCCAGTCGAGAAGCTATTCTGTGAACACTCACCCAAAGCATCGTAGCAACCCGAATAATATATACAGCAAGTCACTCTGGTCACGCATGGTTTCTTAGATGTGCACTAAGATCTTTATAGTGTTCGGCAACTGAGGATGCACAGGCGGGATGCATATAGATTAATATCATGCACACTTATATTGGGCCAAACATGTAGATGAGGTGCGTACAATGAAAACACGCGTGACCATATCACACCAGCTCAATCTACTTGACAAATTCTATCTGAAGCTCGTCTCGTCTGCTGAAAAGGGAACGGATATTGTGCGCGAATCTGGCCTTCGAACCGTTTCCACGATTCTGCGCAGACCACATATGCTCGACAGCCGCCACAGACACGTACACTTTCTTGACACCGTGGATCTTTCCAATATGAATAAGGGCGCCTAGGTATGTGTAGGGGAACAGTGCGTCACTGCGCTGCCATTCCTGGTCAAACCACACCGTATTGATAACTCGCTTTTGAGCAGCCGCTCTATTGCCGAACCAATCTTTCATCGTCATCTCGTCCTGAAAGGAGAATTCGTTCAACTCGTACGGAATGAATCGAGTCTCATGATAGATTTGTCGACAGACGGCTTGGAATAGCGCCATGCGATCGTTGGTCGCGGTGATCACTCGTTCGTGTTCAAATCGCTGCTGCTGCGGCTGATGCCGCATAGTAGGAGACACAAGATATGGACGAGATTTGTACGGCTGAGTACGATAGTAGGCCTGCCAGTCAATTGGAAAGACGCAGTTGTGGAACTGCCGCGCTTGTACCTGGGATATCGCTTCGCGTCTATGAGGCGGATCCACACCGAAACGAGCTGGACCGGGAAGATCCACAGAGATGTTCGTGTCGTAGTCGTCAGTGAGGATGTGTACGTGTTGGTGACCAAGAGCATATTCGAAGATGACGCAACGGACTTCTGCTGGGAGAGATAGCAGAGGAGACTGCAAGCTATTACGTTCCACGCTGCGATCTCATTAGCTAAAGAGGAGCTCTTCGTGAATTAAATACATACATCTCACTGCGTGGATCATCCTTCGAGAGTTGTGCGTTGAGCTGACTGCCCCGATAGAGGGCGGGTTTATGGCCGTCTCGAAGATCATCTGACCCAGCCATAGCGTCCCTGATCATGGTATCCGCTGAAGAGGTGGACTCGCCATACTCTAGTCGCTGCCTCTTTCGCGCACGCGCGGCTTCTTCGAGTTTTTGGCTTTTGGCGCTGACCGCGGCGGTATCTAGATCATGGAAAACTTGCACCTGGAGTCGGTCTTCGGGTTTCGCAAGGCGAACAGAGCGGCGGACCATGATGATGTTGGGAACTTGTATCGTTGACGTGTTGAGTGTGGGAAAGAGCGAGTAAAAGCTTGAGCAGGCCTTCAGCTCAAGGCAGGCGCAGTGGACCAGTGTGGGTCACCTGGGCAACGGCTGACTTAACCCCTCGCACGTGCTTTAGGCTTCACTGATGTAGCACCTGGGCAGTCATCGAGCATAAGGTAATGAGACTCAGCAGTAGGGAACCGTTAGATGGTGTAGTATGTACCTACGAGTTCGGCTGCATCCGACTACACCCTTGGAAGATCGGGCACATTAGTATATGTCACCTGTACCCTACGCAATCGCTAATGACTGAAGGCGGAGAATCTTCTTAATACTAAAACTTTAACAATATAATGTGCTATTACGACTGTATTGGACAATGGCTTCACTGCAAATAGCTACCCAGATACGAGCGGAGAAAGCACGCCAGAGTGTAAAGGCCTAGCGTGTCGTTAGCGTGCCTTCCACACACTCACATCTATGGGTCGCTTCCTACTCGTCTAAACCCGTAGCACTCTCAGCGTCCGGCGTACCCTCTTTGCAGAGCTTCTACCTAGGTGCATCCCTCTCCCCGTTTTCCGACACAACCATGCCCCTTATGAGTTCACATCCGCCCGTTATGCGCCTCTGTAAAGAAGGCGACACAGTCGATAGCCGTGTACGGCTGTGTCTCACTAAACATGGTCTCCTCGACACGAGCAGATTAGCTGTCTGCCTTACGTGAGCTACGAACGATGCACCCACGGTGACACAAGCTAACTCACGGAAGTGCTGAGAGAAACAGGAGCGCGTCGCCACTTCTTCGTTTGCCGGCAGAACTGCGAAATGCGGTCTTCACCATGGTTCTGCAGAAGCCATGTCTGCAAATACGCGATTTTGTTGTTCACACCCTGACTGCGGATGTCATCTTGAGAACGGAGATCTGCCACGGGCAACTGAACAAGGCGCTTGTATCAGATGACGAAGCTGGATCGTACCGGGCACTATCGCTTGTCTGCAGACAGATGTACGACGAGACCTGCTTGTTACCATACGCCCTGAACTCCTTCGGCTTCACGTCAATGAACGCCCTGAGAATCTGGACATCAAGCCGTCTCCCCATACAGTTACGGCAAATCAAGGTGCTAAAGACTCCAATTTCTTTTGAACGAGCATACTTCGAGCAGTCATCCTGCAGATTCACAGACCTATTCCCACACCTTGAAGTGCTTTACGTCGACCTATGGAACGCCCGGTTTTCTTGCGAAATGAATGGTTGGTCGGCCGACCAGATTGAGCAGGATATTCAGGAGAGGACTAAAGTACTGTTGCAAAGGGAGAGGAGTGGCCTGAAGATTGTCGTTACGGAGTACACACATGTCGGTGTTGCTGGGACAAATATCCTCCGGGGGGTCTGAAAGAATTGGATACGGCGATGACTGCCAAAAGGGGGTTACAAATGAGATGTGGTGACAGCACAACATATTTGTCGTTACTGTATTTTATGGACATGGCCGGATTCTGCCCAGGTGCAGAGGTGGGAGACAGCAAGTTCTCTGACGTCATCTTGATACAGAAATGGCTAGACTACATCTGAAGATGCCTCCATCGAAGTCTTTTCAACCGCTCAATTATGGTTCTCCAATCCCAAGCCCTATATGACATCCCGCTTAGGTACCCAAGAGCTTTATTGCAGAGAGTTTCACGGAACGATGGATGAACTGTCTCTCATTGACCTTAGCGCGGAGAGTCGTGGTGTCCGTTACATTCACAGGTCGCAGATGAGGATACCGACACTACATGTGCGCATGATGAGTCGCATCATCTCCTAATACAAGAGCAGGCAGTTGTATCACCAGCAATCACCGTGCCAGATACCTTCGAGACGCGGTGAGGTTTCTAGATAAGCGTTAGTCGCTGGCGCCGGCAACCCGTCGTTCCTCTCACCATCACTTTTCATATTGGTCGACGTACGGGCTTCACCAGTCTCAAAGCGGATAATTCATCTAGATCAATCTTCGCACATGTCCCATCTTTCATCGTTCATTTCATCGCCCAATATGCGCACGTCTCCGATCTTGCAGTTATCAAGCTCTCTTGAGTTTGTTCTCCTTCAATCACACGCTCTCTTCACAAGCAACAAGACCATATTGAGCCTCAAGTATGGGATCACCCGAACTGCCCGCTCGCTCTGCGGCGCCGAAAGATCACACAATCTCCTCGAAGCGTACAAAGGTCGTCAAGAAGAAAGCTCCCACAGTCCGCAAGCCCAAACAACCTGGTCGGAGGTACATGAACGGGTTGATGAAAGCCGAGATTCCTGCTCGCTCAGAATTGATGAAGATGTAGATGCGACTCCACGATCTACCTCCTATGAGAGCTAACGCACAACAGCGCCAAAGCCAACTCCATCCAGTCTCCGCTTCTCAGTCTTCCGGCAGAAATCCGCAACAAAATCTGGCAGTATGCTGTTGGCTATCATCAAGTCGACATCCACGATTACTCCTGCGTTCGAAGATGGGATATCAGGCTCACGCATGTTACGCACCCTCTGACCAAAGGCCCGAATACTCCGTCCAGCTTCGTCCAACCCACTTTTGCGGTCCCAAAAGTATGCCGCCAGATGTACGTTGAGTCATCGGCAATGGTCTACAGCTTGAACAATTTCGGATTCGATAATCTGGACACATGCGACCGATGGATCCTGGGCCGCCCACTCGGCCAGCGACGTCTCATCGTTTCAGTGGACATGCCATTCGGGTACTACAGCCTCTACAAGGACGGTTTCCGCAAGTTGCTCCGGCAGACGTTCCCAGGCATTGCGAGAGTCAACCTACACACTAAGATGGCTGAGATGAGCCAACGTATCGTTACTAGCACTTGGTTCCACGCAGTACCTACCAGGGAGCCTCTCAACGACACTAAGCAGAGGTTCGTTGACCAAGTCAAGAAGAAGGAGGGTGATGAAATTGAGGTCGACTGGTACAGTGGGTCCGCCAACTCTTTGGTGTACCTGCACTATTGAGAACGTTCGGTATGTTGTGGCGATTTCTTATGCAGCGAGTCGTTGTTCAAGAGTTTGTTGGGGATGTTGGGGAACGAGGTCTTTGCTGGGAGCCGATACACGACACTTTGCGGTGAGTGACCTTGTATAGACTGCCTACGAGATGTACACTGACTATGTAGACCTGCATTTAGTGTACACGACCTTTCACGATCAATGTCCGGCAGAACTTGCGTATTGACCCCACCGGTTTGGCATTCTGAGACGCATAATTCATCTGGCCATTGTGCGCTCAGGTTCCTGGAGCCAAACACCCATTCGGAAGATGACGATTATCGAGATACGACCAACTGGGTAAGTATCTTCTTCCATTTATCAGCATTTGTTGCAGCTTTTTCTCCAGCGTTTGTACCAGCGTTTGTTTCATTTGGGCGTTCACCCAATCTAATACGATCCGATCTTGTGTTTTTTTGTTGAGGGCGCCAATCTTCGCGCAGAGTAAGTCTCTGGCTATAGATCGGGAGAAAGGTTATCGGGTGGCGAGAAAGAGGGTAGAACATGATGTCAGGGCTTTGAGGGGGGTGGAGTGGCTACAAGGAATTAGAGTCTTGAACATGAAGGTGCTTGCGCTGTCGCACATGATTCACCGAACCTCGACCGGCAGTGAGATCTGGAGCTCCCGATGACTACGAACGATATGCACCTAACAAGATTCTGGACTTATCTCTCGTCACGCCGAGGAATTGCATCAAAAGACATGGATGCGAACAACTTTCGCCATCATATATCAAGAAAACAAGATCGAATTGGACCTGCCTCAACGGAACAGACAAGCCTTACATTGAATGTGATAAGAAAGACCAGAAGTGGTCAGGTATACTCGAAAACAAAAGGAAAACAGCAAGAGGTCATGCACATGCCGTTGCAACCCAATCGCACGTTCCCCGTGCGAACCTTCGACTCGAGAGAAGCACCATGCAACACATTGCCTCAGTGCCGACCAACACCCCATCTGGCCCATCCAGCTACTCCACGTTCTCCGTCTAACAACACTCCGCCGCACACTCGCAGCAATCAGCGCAGCACTCGCAACCCTCTTCGCACACGAAACAACAGCACAGTGTCGCCAGACTAGTCTTCCGTTAGCCAAAGTTCAACCCTCGAGTATACCCTGCCCACTTACCAAGCCGCCAAGCATCCTCTGTCCTTCTTCTGCTTTGGTTGTGGTGGTGCCTGTTGGTATTGTCCTTGCGGAGGACCGTAGTACATCTGCTGTTGTGGTGGTGGAGCGCCGTATTGTTGGGGTTGGCCGTAGCCGCCGCCTGGGGGACCGTAGCTGTGATGGAGTTAGCACTTGGTCGCTCTTCGACTACGTAGATGTCTTTTGCGATCGCAGGAGGTATTGGGTGTACGCGCGGCTTTGCGCGATAACGCCAGTCCTTGTAGACGGTCGTGGGAAGCGTACCTTTGTTGTGGGTACTGAGGCTGAGGCCCGCCTTGGTAGTAGCCCTGGTTCGACATGTTGATTTAAAACGGCCTTTGAGATGTTCGTAAGGATGGGAAGTGCGGATCAGAAGTCGCGCTCGTGATTAATTCAATACGTGCTCGCAAATTGCTCGTTCGTTCGTCGATGATGGAGGTAAGACAAAGGCAGCCGGTAATGGTGAATCAGGCAAGCAGCAGTCGCGCAACCGAGTCTCGTATCCCCAAACCAAGCTTTCGCCGAGAAGCCGTCCGAATCTTAATTTCTCGCTTGTGAAAAACCCGCGTCACTGTCCAGGGTCGTTGCGCAACGGTCAAAGTAAAGTCAGGAGTAAAGTGAGTATATGGCTGGAGGAAATACAGTGGACCCTTCTTACAGTCTGGGGAGGGGATGCGCCGCCTTTAATCTGCAGCGCGCTCGTTCGCGCCCTCTTTCTCGCGCGGACAGGGCAACGCATCACTCGGCCGGTCTATTGGGCTAGTTAGCCTGAGCCACATTCGCTGCCCGGCTGTGCGCCGGGCTATTGGCGCAAATAAGCCGGGGGCGCGAGACATGCTGTGGGCTTTCGTCATCGCCACAGATGCTTGTCATGCTTTTCGACAGTGCCAGCGCGATATCGGGGGATTTCAAGGCGTGGCTGAGTTATGGCCGAAGCTGCGATGATGATGTAGTTGGCCGAGGTCTATCCACATACTTTACGGTGGGTGCAAGGTCTGGCATCACTCGATGAGCAGAGCCACAGACGCGTGCGCGGTTTTGCGTGGATACGACATCGAATCGGCCTGCTAGCTAGCCAGCCACACATGCACCGCAGGGATGGTCGTGCCACCTGATGTGTCAGGCTAAGCTTTACTTGGCAAAGGCTTGGTCTCGCATCTGCCTCGCGCCAAGGGTGAACGACAGCTCGAGAACAGGGGTGATTCGTCCTGCACATGTAACGTGTGCAATGTCTGTTATCGCAATGCCTTGTTAGAAGTATTCCAAGGTTAGTTGACGTGCAAAAGTTCACGTATTATCGAGACTGCATCTCCCCGCCAATCCTCTGAGCAACTCAGCCATCACGCCACGCATGTCAGCCGCAGTCTAGACCACACAATTGCCGGACCGATAGTACCACGTCCACATCTGAACTAGAGGTTCACTCAATTTGAAAAGATGGCTACAGAGGGCAAGATGCTAGCAATGAGGGCAAAACGAAGCTGGTAATTCGGAGTGTTACGTGCACGCAAATGCTATGTGGCTTGATGAAGAATGCTATCGAGCCTTGCGAACCCACTCCGCCAAACAACAAACAGGTACGGTAGAACTTATGTACATATACAGTAGCAGGGTAATTAAGTGGATGCCCCATAGGTAAGCAAAGGGGTACGAAAGAACAAACAACCACCATGAGCGAGATTAGAAGCCGAACGGGTTTTGGGGTGCTGGTCAACGATTAGAGAGGTCTTGCATAGGTATTTTGTCGAACACTTACTGGCATTGGCAAGGTTCGCCCTCCCCGTCGGCTGGGGCGTTAGCTTCTTTGCGGGCTGTACACCAAACTTGATGGTCGGTGGTGGGCCAGTCTTCTGGGGCACCAAAGGCTGCGCCTGGGGCATTGGCGGCATGGGAGGGACAGGCGGCGGGCTTTGGTTCGACATGTAGCCAGTCGGCTGTGGCGCAAGGGCCGGGGGTAGAAAGCGGTTGACGCCAGTCGCCTGGGGGTTAAGCGGCGATGGTTGGAACGAATTGTACCCTGTAGGCTGAGCCTGTAGTGGTTGGAAAGGTGCCCGTGGTGGGTCGGCAAAAGGGCTACCATTCCCGAAGCCTTGTGTGAAGTGTGGCTGCTGCTGCTGGAAACCTGTCTGCATGGGCTGCTGGAAGCCAGTTGGCTGCTGTTGTTGGTATTGAGCGAAGCCAGTCTGCATTGGCTGCTGCTGGGGTGGAGACATGGGGTTGTAGCCTGTAGGTTGAGGCATCATGCCGTTCTGCTGGAATCCGAAACCGCCATTTTGCTGTGGGAAGCCTGTCATTTGCTGTTGCATTGGTGGCATACCCTGCATGCCTTGGCCTTGTCCAGAGTTTTGACCCATGAGGTTGGGGTTGTAACCTGTGAGCTGAGGTTGTAGGGGTGGTGGGGGACCGAAGGCACTTTGTTGTGGGTTCATAGGGGCAGAGGAAGAACGCTGCGGTGGTGGAGCAATGAGACCTCCTGGACCCTGCTGCTGGGGAGCTTGTGGGCGCATGCGCGGTGGAGCCATGTTGTGAGGTTGGGTAAGGGCCTTGATAGCTGCAACCTGCTCGAAAAGGGTAGGAGTAGCGCCTGTTGGCTGCGGTTGCTGAGCGGGTGCTGGAGGCTGTTGAGCAGGTGCTTGTGCTGGCTGAGGTGCTGGAGCAGGAGGCGTTGGCTGCGCGATCTCGTCAGGCTTGAGTGCAGGCATGTCTAGAAGAGACAAATCGTTCATGGATCCAGTCAGCTGGGGTGGTTTTGCGGCAGGGGCTTGTGCAGCAGGTGGAGATGCTGGCTTGTCAGATGTTGACTTGGATGGCTTGACATCCCACGCATTGTCGTCAAACCCATTCGCTGTCTTGTCAGATGTCGCTGCTGACGTCCCGTCTGCGGGCTTCTTAACGGTGTCATCGGACTTCGGTTCAAACGCCTTTGGATCAACGACATCGTTCGTCTCAACTGGTGGTGCAGGACGTCCCTTTCGGGTGTTGTTCCTCAGTGCACCTCCTGGACCTGAGAACAGCCCACCAGAAGCTCCCTCTCCTCCCTCTTCAGCAAAGCTAACACTTCGCTTATCTCTTCCGAACTGCGCGTCCAAGTGCTTGGTCACACGGAGAATGTCACCTTCCTTGAGACCCAACGTACGTAGCAGCCCAGGAGTGATGTCTGGGATATTTTCTTCCGTCATTTCATCCTTGGTAAATGCCCTGGCGTATCGTTCGCAGATCTGTGGGTTGACACCACACTTGAGGAAGAAGTCGAACCAGTCGTATTCCGGCTTCTTCTCGACGGAAATACCGGTTGGACCTGAGTCCTTCCCGCGAGGCTGTTGCATGCTCCTCCTCTTCAAATCCGATAGGGGTTTGTCGTCATCTAGAGACTCGCCTGTGACGCGTTCGACGTACTCGAGGTCTTCTACTGACATCTTTGTGACAGGTACAGCGATCTTGACGCCATTGACTTTGTGTAGGTGGATCTTGCCATCCTTGATAAGAATGAACTCTGCCTCGACCTTGAACGATCCGGATCGGTCGGTCCAAGTGCGTACCTTGGCGGAATCTAAGAAATTTGGTCAGCATCCTTGTACACAATGCGTGTTCTGTTGTCCCACTAGGTAGATGTTCAGCGCCCACGAACGGCGCAGAACCCTTTTCAGTAGACAGATCAAGAAACTCAAGTAGTGAAATTGCTGTATACTGACTTGGTTTGGAGCCGGACTTTGAACTCGAGTCCTTTGCGGAGCTTTCGCGCTTGCTTGATCTCTGTGAAGTACGACGATGGTCAACGTTTGTTTGCATAAGACTAGAGTTACGCGAAGGCAAGTGCAGGCCAGGGCCTACCTGATCGTTCCTTGCCTCACTTTCTGGCTTCTTCCGTCTCGCAGCCTGACGAGCAAGCTCTTCCTCCTCCCGCCTATTCTGTTCGACGACGGACCGGCCAGCGTTGGTTCCCGATCGAGCGATGGCAGCTGCGGGAGCGTGTATGGGGACGGTTTCTGTGACCTCAACGTAATTAGCTGGTACCACACCCTCTTTGCCATTCTTCAGCCGCCTGACTTTCCACCACTCGTCACTTGCGGAATCGTCGAGGACTAAGATCTCGTCGCCGAGACCAACGGTAACTTCGTCATCACCCTGTGCCATGAAGTCAAAAAGCATAACTCCCTTCTTCTGCACATTAGAGTTTCCGGAGCCAGCAGCGAGTACTTCGCGGAGTCCTGCGCTCTTGGCCGCTCCTGCAAGCTCACCAAGCGCGAGCATGATCTCCGATGCAGTGTCTTTAGCACCACAGTGGAAGTCGACACTCTTGCTTGGCTGCTTAAGCTCCATGAAGATGTGTTTGCCTTCTTGCGAGTAGTATTCCATCTTGTCCGCGCTCCATTCCTGTTGCGGCCCGTCGCGCGACTTCTCGGGTGCAATCATGATCATTCCTTTCGGGATGTTGACACCCAGGGTGATTGGCATTTTCTTATTCTTGCCCGGCTGTGTAATGTACTCGTAGATGTTGTACAGATGGTATCCCGACCCCGACATGGGCGTCGCGGGCTGCTCGTCCCTGCTCGGAGGATCATATTGGTCGAACGTGACGCTTCGGGGCGGTGGCGATCTGACTGGGGGCGATGGGGATCGCGCGTGTGCGTATTGGGTAGGCGGCGGTGAGTAGACCTCGGACTCGGGTCGCTGGGGAAGACGGGGTGCTGGCACTTCTTCGTCCGACTCTTCCGGGGTAAATTGCACGCGTCGTTGCTGTCGCGGAGGCGCGCTTACGTTGGGCGGAGGAGAAATAGTCGATCGCGGTGCTGCCTCTTGCGACTTCTTCTGTATGATGCCAGCCAGAGCCGCAGCGGGACTCGGTTGTGGAGGAGTGTCTGGAGTAGGCGGCTGATCGTCATCGAAAGAGTCGGTCGCTGGTGGCATGGGCGGGCGACTAGGCAGCGCGGGAGACGGCGCAGCTGGTGCTCCTCCTGCTGCTCCCTCTTCAGTGAGCTCGATGTAGTTCGCGGGCGCAAAGCCATAGTCGTCTGCGACTCCCACCAGTGTCCAGTCCGGGTCGGTGGTATCGTAAACGTCTAGGACGGCGTCCTCTTTGAACGAGAGCTCCTCGTCCGTCTGGCGGTCGTAATCGAAGAGGGCTTTGGCTTGTGCGACTGGGGCGGCCTATACGTATCATCAGTCTCTATGCTGCAGCATTCCACACAATGCCTGGTGAAGCGTTGGGCATGGTTTGCGACGCGGATTGGGCTGTCATCGGGGTGAGGCGCAGCATACCTCTTCAATGTAATTGTTCGGGATCAAGCCCTCGGGCTCTTCCTCGTCGCCATCGCGCCCCTTCTTCTTTGCTTTCCACCAGGCGTCGATGGTCGACTTCTCCAGCACCATCAAGATGTCGCCTTCGTTCAGGGCGATCTCATTGTCGCTCTGGGGCTCGTAGTCGTAGATGGCGCGATATATGCCGAGGAACACCATTGTGGCGGCTACACGTGCGGCGCAGTCTCAAAAAGCGTGTATGGCGTGGTGAAGTAGATTACTGAATGTGTGTACGGCCGGCGTCGATGCGCATAAGCTCGGCGGAGGGCCACGGGGGTGCTGTTGCCCGGTCGAGGGGCCAGCTGGACAGGGGGAAGCTGCGTGACGCTACCAGGTCGGCGCCAGCAGCTGGAGAAGCAGAAAACAGCGAGATTATAATAGAACGGGTTGCTTAGGGCGGTGGGCCGGGACTGCGGGATCGCTCGTGCTGTAGCAGCGGAAGTGGTGAGGCAGCTGCGAGTTGGGTCGACGATGCAAGTGAGGACTCAGCACGAGCCAACTGTCCCATACGGTCGTCCCCACCGACGACGTCAACCCGCTTTCATCCCATGTTCCTGCGACTTGTCAAGCATGCCGGCGGACGACTACCTGCATGACAAGTTCAAAAGACTACATGAACTCAACCAGAACCAAGCATTACGGTGTATTGGTAGAGTAGATATTTCTTAGCGTCTGCCTTAGCTCAACCACATTCCGCCCTTCACTCAGTACGTAAACCGGAAACCTTCTGTTCCCTCTAGGAGACGCTTCCCCCTAGTCTGCCGCTTGTTCGCCATGTAGAAAAACACCGAGAACACTCCCACCAATCCAATGATCAACATGTGACTTCCTATGCTGACCCAGATGGCCGTCATATACCTGGGACTTTCTGGTGCTCTCACAATGAAGCTTCCAGCGATACCGCCAGCGCCATTGAAAGCTGTGACCATTGCGGCAGTAAAAACCCTCTTCCACTGGCCGACAATGTTGTTCGCCTGATAAGTCGCCATGGCCGCCCAATTCGCCACGTACGCTCCGGTAGCAAGGTAGGTGCCTATATACCTCACGGTGACCTGGTCCGAGAACCCTAGCATACAGAAACCTACAATCAAAGACACGCAATTAAAGACTATAATAGGCCCTCTCAACTGGAACTTGTCGCCGACGATCGAGGACAGGATAGCGGGAATAACAGCGTAGTAGTAAGGTGGTGCGGATAGCAAAATCGCTTTGTTTGAAGAGAAGCCCATGCCGGTTTGCAAAATGATAGGTAGGAAGTAAGACAGTGATGTCGAGACGAGGTTCTGCAGGAAGTAAAGGGTGCAGAAACCGTACACCTTCATATCCTTGGCGTGAACGAAGACTTTAGACCATGCGAAGTCGTCGGGTTTGACATCGCCCCTATCGTTGTCGATTCGAGAAGACGCCAGTGCACTTTCGTGAGGCGTGAGGAAGTAGAAGGAGTTTTGGGCATGTTCAGGGAAGTCGACCATCCACCAATATGTCAGAATACCGAAGAACGCAGTAATGCTTCCCTGTACCTAAAACTCGGTGTACGAAGTCAATACCCGTCTCACACCAATTCGCACTCGCATATCACTTACAACAAACATCCACTGCCAACCCTTGAGATATTTGCCGTCGAGCTGATTGAGTCCAAAATTAACGATGCCACCGGTTGCCAAGACAATGACTTCGCCACTCTGCATCAGAGCAAAGCGAAGCTGTTGCTCTTTCCGTGTATACCATGTTGAGATGAGGTACGTCAAGCCGGGATAAATTCCCGACATAGCTATTCCCAGCAGAATGCGTAGCGCGATCATCTGTCGCCATGTCTGCACGAAAGCTGTGCACAGCGTAATGATGCCGAAACAGAAGGTGATGAAGGCAAACCAGATTCGCGGTCCGAAGGTGCGCACAGCGATTGTCGATGGTAGCTGGAAGGCAATGCTCGCGATCGTGAAGATGAATATGGAAACAGAGTATCGGTTGCCGACATTTAGTTCCAGATCGCTGAGCATAGAGGTGACGGATGCGCTAGAGATGACGCCGCTGTCAAGTAGATTGAGCGAACACAAGATGCCAGCAATGCTGCAAAGTCGAAGGTCGACCTTTAGGCGGATGCTGTTGCGCCACTCTTCTTCAATCCTCTCTCTTTCTCCATCGTCAATCTCATCGTGCTGTTGGTCGTGCAATTCTCGGATGGACTCGTCCGTTGACTGTTGGCTGGTTGCACTCTTCTTCATGTTCTCGCGATTGGGAGGGATGAGGGGTAGCAGGAGCCTGCGACGAAAAGCTCATCATGTAAATCGCCTATGGAAGTAGCCAGAACGTGCTTATCGTAGCACAATCCAAATTGGTGTACATATCCGGCTGCAGAAGCTCCGCACTTTCCCAGGTGCAGATCTCCAGGGCTCCGTTGCTTACCGAGGCGCGGTTCCGCACGATAATTCCGCAGCAGATTACTTAGCAATGACCAAGCCGCTGATGTGGAGATCTGCATGCGGCTATCATAGACTTACTTGTCGCACATGTCGTCAGGCATGTTAAAGCGCCGTCCGAGTCTGGCGAGAGGCTGACGTTGCGAATAGATGGACTTGACATGCAGAAAAGCAGGCATCATCGGGGTGGCCAGGATTTGTGTCGCAATTCCAAGGCTTGCTGCATGCACACTGTTATGTTCTTAGTAAGTAAGTTGTTTCCCAGATATTGTATACTTTCAGTCAGCCATCTTCCTGAATGTCACACAAGTTGTAGACACCGCTAGTGGCGTAGCTCTAGTGAGCAAGACAGAGCCCTAGTCTTGGGTAAGCCGGTATATGCTGTCCAAATGCCGTAAACAAGAAGACGCCTACAGTCTCTGAGCGAACATCGGACTTTGCCATGCGACTGTGATACACATCACACACCTCCCGAGAACACAACTCGATCCTGACAGGTCGGTTTCACGCACAATGTGATATACCACAAAGTCATACATGGAATTGGTGAAGTGGGCTGTCACGTACAACTTGAACTTCAAGGATGCGACATCAGTTTGCATGCGCAAAATCCAATCTGGGGGAATGGGATGATATTGATTTTCTCCGATGAAGGAAGACCCTTTCTAGTATAGCCACTGGCTCTCCTGGCCAATGGTTTGGGTATCTTCGCCAAGCTAGATAGCGAGTGTGGGTATTGATCGTAACAGACAAGACAAGAAGAAGAAAAAAAGATAATGAAAAGATACAAAGGATAGTCCACAATTCAGCAGACGAGAAATAGGAAGTAACAACAGAACTCCCAACATCCGAGTGAGTGCCGTATGCTCCGACCGCCCTGCCTTATGTGTGACCCGAATCCGACCCAGTCCATTGATAAGACAATTTGTGTGTGAAAGTGTCATTAATCTGACAACAGGGGTAAAATGCATAAACCAACCGGGTGTCCCAAAAGCACTCGCTTCGTAAGTCGTGAAATGAAGGGGAGCTCCTTGGAGGAACTCTCAAGAAGATCAGGTGTCGAAATTAAAAGGGTATAGAAATCAGATCGACGGGAGTGGGCAGAGGCCCGGGCGGGAGGAGAGCTTAGCCTTCATCCTCACCATCGTCTTCGTCCTCGTCTTCATCCTCTTCGCTCGTGCTGTGACGCTGCACGGCACCTGCCTTGTTCTTCTTGATGGTAGGTGTTCCCTTGAGTTGTGTAGATGATGCCTTGCGCTTGGGGCCAGAGCTGGCAGGCTTGGGAGGCATGGACGCGTTTTCCTTGTTGCCGTCTTCACCCTCGCCTTTTCCGGCTGCGTTGTCCATCGCAGCCACCTCTTCTGCGGTCAAGAAGCGACCACCAGGACCACGGGGACGGCGCATGGCGTGATTGTGCCTAGACTCGTGTAGGTATGGCTTTCGACCCTTGGATGTCAGCCTCAGTGCATCCTCGAGTTTCTGTCGCGCGAGACGCCTTTTCAAGATGCGATGGAATTGTTTCGCGTTGACATAGAGTGGCGCCTCTTCTGGTTGTGCACCTCCAGCGACAAGCTCAGGCGATTGTTGGTGCTGCGATTGCTGGGGCATCGGAGGGACGGAGGGTCTGGGGCCGCCATGGTTCATGACAGGCTGTGGCTGCTGCATCGCAGGACTACTGATTTGAGTGCTCATTCGCCTTTGTTGCATCTGAGTCGGGGTCATCTGAACTTGAGATGGGAGCGCGTTGTTCATCGCATTGGAAACGTTTGTCGGCGATCGTGGAGCGCGTCCATCCCCCTTCATCTGGGATACTGACATGCGTGGAGATGCGCGTGGGTCTTGTGCTAGCTGACCTGAGATGGCGGTTTGATCGTAGTATCCGGCTGGTCCTGCTGCTGCTGCCGTAGCTAACGCAGCAGCCTGTTGATGTTGTTGCTGTTGAGAGGGCATGTATGGATTTTGCATACCAGCCATGTAGGCCTGATGCTGAGGGAAGCCCATCTGCGGGTGGTGCTGGGGATGTGGTTGGCCGTTATGCGCGAAGTTTCCATTCGATGGAAGGATTGGGGACGACTGCTGCTGTCCGAACTGCATTTGCTGCGGGTTGGGCGCGGGCGCATGCCCGTGGAATTGTGCGTAGTCGGTCATGGCTGTCTACAATGCGTAGATTGTGGGCCTATTTGCGTGAAGACGAGGTAGCGAGAGGCTCGCAGTTGAGGCGCGTAATACAGGCAGGCGGTCACGTCGCGGCAGGGCCGATACTTGATGCGCTGTCAATGGCCAGGCGTGCTTGAGGCGAATTCGCTAGAGCGCACGGCTTTAGCTTCCAGGTTTGAGGCGCAGCAGCGGTGATTGGACGTCGAGGGGCAGTGCGCGTTTACAAATGATGGAGCGATTTGTCGAGGATGAAGCTGCACTCTAGAGGCCCGCGCCGTAGTAGTGGGGAAGAGCCGTTGCAGGTATTCACCAGTCACGAGAGGAAGATGAGAGTCGCCTACAATGATTGTCAGCCAAATCAAGAGAGCATTGGACGCTGTGCTGGCGGGGTGGGCGATTGGAAGGGATGATGCGCTGGCATATGCATGCGCGGTGAGCTAGTGCGCTTACCTTGTTTCGTCAGTTGGCGGGCGTCAAGGTCGTATTGCCGGTCTGAATGCTCTTCGGGTTTGAAGTCTAGGGCGACCAGCGAGCGGACAAATGTATATTGTCGTTGCGCAATGACAGCTTTAGCAGCGGCGT